ACAGCGCTAGAAACAGATCACCCAGACTGTAAGACAGGACATGACTAAGGAGTAAATGTGTACATTACATCACCGCCGTGTTCACAACATAACCAAATATGAACAAAAGTACTTTGTTTCCATAGTAATGCTACAACAAATACACTTCTTACGGAACACTCATGAAGTTCTGAGTGTTAAATTCTCAGTTCTTTGATCTTTGGGCTGAAGGAAGGACAACACTGTGTATAAATGCTCAATCAACAATCATTTTATTCCATACAATTCTCATTATTTCATACAACACTTTTGAGCATATACCATCCGGAGGCGAGATGAGCGCGGGAGGGTGTCCGCCTGATCTCGAAGTGTCTGAGCGTTTCTCACATGCTTATAGCTTCGGCCCCCCTCCAAAGTCATAAAACCTAAACATCCACATACTTTCTAACTCTCAGTGAGCCTGAGTTATGGCCTTGGCTCCCTGTTTTTCTGCTTCCAACCAAGGTGGGGGTGAAGCTCCTGTGGAATGTGCTCTGTCCTCTCTACTATCAGAAAAGCAAGGCCCTGACTCTCTGCACACAGTATTTCTTATAACTCAGCAGTATAATGCATCATAAAACAATATCATTCATTCACAATAAATCAGCAGTCTAATGTAATACAAATCAGTTTAATAAATCTAATAGTTATCACCTCTTCTAAGTCAGGAGAATAATGCAAACTAAAACTACATAATAATTTCACAATCTTTAATTAGGGGTCTAACGTGGCATAAGATAATATAATAATCTCACATTAGTAAACGTCAGTCATTCATACAGAACAGTGAACAAAATCCTGATGCACCCCTTATTCCTTTTTATTTTGTTTCCAATGAGACAGACCTCCCTGTTATTTAAAAATAATTAGTTTATTGTCAGCATTCATTCAGTAAAAGCACTAGATCACAGGTGTCGAACTCCAAACCTCGAGGGCCAGTGTCCTGCAGGTTTTATATTTGTCCTTGATCCAACGTAGCTGAACTAACCATTTGGTTCAGGTGTGTTGACCCAGGGTGATATTTAAAACCGAACAGGACACCTGCCCTCGAGGCCTGGAGTTCAACACCACCCCAGACTAGATGTTACAACCCCTGATAATGTATTGCTTCAAATGGAGAAAGTCTTGAGGGATGGCTGTTATGCAGCCCAGCGGGACACATCGTTGCGTGCCTCAACTTCACAGGGTGTTTCGGTCTTTTATCCCAAGCTAATCTGCATTTTTTTTAACCTCCCTTGGTTAGGTTTCGGGATTAGAGATCTGATCTAGATTATCATATTAAGATTTGGGACACATCGTCAGTAGTGGACCTTGGATTCATCGGGTGTTTCGGCCATTATCACTAGACACCCTCATCCAAGGAGGCCCTGCCAGGGTTGATCGGGCCCTGGGGTGTGTCACTGGTTTATGTTAAGTTTTTATTTCTCTACTTTCTTCTGTTTAGTTTTCTACAATTTATTTTCTTCTATCAATTCACTGCAACTTAGAAGTAATCCTTACTTAGACTGCGTTTTCGCTCATGGAAAACGCAGGGTTCGCGTGTGCACAGAGAAAACAGAGACTTTCTAAAACGATGACGTATGCCAGTCATGTGATGCAGTCACGTGACCAATTAAACGAAGATAGCGGAGGGCATTATACAGCAGTTGTTTTGTTTACTCTCAATTTTGACAGCCCTATTAAAGAGTAATATCAGTCTGTACATGCTCCAGATAGTTTTTCTTCAAATTCTTTCATTCTTACTCACTTTTGCAACTTTGTATTTTTGTGTTAATCGCAGAAACAACTCCACCTCATTGTTCGTCCATTTTAAAAAAACTCGGTGCTTTTCCTCAACATTTTGCCGCGACGTTTCAAAGAGAGGCAGGTCGAATCTTCTTGCTTTTCACGCATTCGCAGGACTGGAAAGTAGGCGTTTGCGGCCGTTTCAACGTGGACGCTCAACTCTGTGAAAATGACTGAAAACGCTTTTGTGGACGAAAACGCCGTTTTCAAATCTATCCGTTCTAGTGTGGACGTAACCTTAAACGATATCTTTGGGCCCTTGGTCACTAGCAGCCTACAAACCAAACACTCGCAATTTTTCCCCATTTCTTTGTATCTACAAAAAAAATCCCAAAGATATCACAGTTTGATGGGCATAAAATAATATTTTTACGCCAACGGGGTGATTATCAAAGGACCACTACACATGAAAGCAGCTAAAATTAAATGCTTCACTCCAATGTAAAAATGTTAGCCTACTTAGCGATGCAGCTAAATTATGTAAAACGTGTCCGACAGTAAAGGTCCAAAATAACATGATTTGTTTAAGTATTCATACGTGACAGAGAGACGTGCTGACTTCTGCTATTTCAGCCAGTGGTGTTGTTATCAGTCAAAACTGGAATTATGAACTCAATAAAGAACCGTCAGACTTTATTCCACCATGATATACCATCTGGGTAAAAATCTGATTGATATAAAAAACATACTGCCAATGCAGTAAAAGCATATCTGGATAGAAAAACACACTGGAACACTATCAGTCGTGCATTGGTCTCTCCAGTTCAATTCAATGTAATCTCCTACGACATTGGCGTCCACATGTGGACAATACATTTTGGGTTGTCTAGACCAAAATACCAGTTTTGCTCTACAAGGGCCTGACATCTACTTACGAGGACATTATACTGCCACTGTTATTTTAAAAAAAAAATCAGGTAATTCTTTGTTTTTACATTTATCAGGTCCCAATTGTCATGGTCCGCGGTGGTTGGCTGAAATTTCCATCAGGCTCCTGAGCCTACCTGGGATCCGCCCCTGGGGAGGACCACCTCCTCCAGTTCCTGCGCACCTGGAGCCGATTGCAGGCAATCAAGCCAAAGTGATTTAAGCCTCACCCTGACGTTCATTCACTGCCAGTTCGTTTCATTGCTTTTGTCCTTGCCACATTTCCAAGCCTAAGCCTAACTAATAAAATATTGTTAAATCACCTGCTGTCTCTTGGCCATCTGCTGCGACTGGCTGGGATGAGGGGAGGAAGACAGGATAAAGACACACTGTGGAAGAGAGCAAGAGATTAATAATAACTAATGATTAAATGTAGAGAGGTGTGTAATCATGTAGCGAGTAAAAAAGAAACACACAAAGAAACAAATGGCTCATAATTCACTGCCAAAAAAGCATCAGAAAATGAATGATAGGAAGACAAAAGCCATTTTTTCTCTGTGTGTACAGGTGGAAGTTGTTACAGCTCAGTTTCTCCCATATTTGTATTTCCACTTCTCGGAGCCCGGAGAACTATTCCTGAAGACTATTTCAAGAAATGACGAGAAAGCTTACCTAAGAGAGTTCTTTTTATTGAAGAATAAAAATGGTCAAACCAACAAACTCTATTTTTGCCTTATGAACTGTATTTCCGTCTATGTGTGGGCATGTCTCAGCCAGTCACTGACCCATTTTCCAGTTTTCGGAGCAAACTATAAAAGACATGAGACACGGCCCAAAACTTATATATGAAATAAAATGCTCGACTCTGTGACCTTTTGCACTGTTACCCTCCTCAGTGATGCAGCTTCATTATGCAAAACGTGTCCAGCAGTAAAGTTTTATCTGAAAGATGCTAAATGACACAATTTGTTTAAGTATTCATATAGTGAGGAAGAGACAGATACACCTCCGCTATTTGAAAAAAACACAAACCCCCCAACTCCGTGCAGGATGTGCAGAACATCATCTGACACGTTGTCCCCTCAGTTGATATTTATATAGTTTCGCTTCATGAATCAATAAACGTGGGCTTCAGTACTTCACTACGCCACCGTGGCTCATTCCAGTACTGAACCTCTGTGAAAATAAAAAGATCTGAAACCTTTCGGACATTTCTCAGATTCTGTTTCATTAAGGACTTAAATATTATTATACAATATATACGTAAGTACTGAATTCGTTTACAACAAAGCATCAGAGAATGGATGATAGGAAGCCATCAGCCAATTAAAAACAAGTATCTTTCTGCGTGTACAGGTGGACGCTGTTAGTGGTCAGTTTAATGCGTCGCAGCTGGATGCAGACAGTTTTTCTCATATTTGACTTTGCAGATCGCCTTTGGTTTTTTTCCTGGTCTAATCTTATTTGGTCACGTACTACCTGGTGTTAGGTAGCTTCATGAAAAAGGTGTTGCAGCAGATGCAGGTTAAACACTTCTCCACAATGCATGCAACAAAGTGAAGCCTTTGTGTACAATTTTTTTTGGCACGTGGTAAATAAAACCAATGCGATACAATGTGGCTTTTTATAATTGCTGAACTTTCTCATGCTAGCTGCACAGCAGTGGGTGATTGTCCCAGAATAAGAACTTGCTTATTATTATATTATTAGGTATTATTCCAAGATAATAAAATAAATGCTAAACTTCCTGTACATAGAGAGTGCACAATAAAAACCAACACAGATCATTATCTAGTCTTTGTGATTCATGAGAAAAGCTTCTTAGTGGAGTGTGAAATAGTTATCTATGACAGAGAGATTCTTCAGTTCTCCATGAAGGGCCCTGTGTGGACTGAGGTAAAGATGTGAGGAGTGCTTCATCAGTTCAGTTCCTGCTTATGTGCTCAGAGATTTGATTGAGTAGGACAGTTTTAACTGTGCAGCAATGCAGTGTGACAACAGAAGGCTTATAAAACTCCAAGGATAAACAGCTAAAAATATTTCTGCATGCAGAGATGTGATCATTTGTGTAAAAGTGATTTTTTTTGTTATCACCTTTATTTTTATTTCTTTATTTTTACAGAAATTTAATACCACCAAGACAGACAACTAATTGCTTGTTAACACCTAAAAAAAAAAGAAGAAAAAAAGCAGAAGCCTCAGGCTTCCGGGTAAAGGGTGAACCACATAATCACACTTTTTTTGCATTTGCATTTCCCTTTAAAGAGTACGGGCAGCTCTAAAGGCGTCATTTCTTTTTGTGAAGGCATCAAAGAGGCACGTAGCTCACGATGCGTTGCAGCTTCAATGGCACTCTGCTGATCAATGTCCTCCCTCCTCTGCTGATGACAGAGTTTGTCCTGGGAGTTCTTGGTAATGGTTTGGCTCTGTGGATCTTCTGCTTCCACCTGAGGCCCTGGAAAAGCAGCACAGTGTTGCTCTTCAACCTGGCAATGGCTGATTTTCTGCTCAATATTGTTTTACCTCTCCGTGCCAGCTACTACTACGCCGGGATCAATTGGAAGTTTGGAAACGCCCTCTGTAACATCTGCCTCTTCATGCTGGCCCTGAATCGCAGTGGAAGCACCTTCTTCCTGATGGCCATCGCTGTGGACAGGTACATGCGTGTGGTGCATCCCCACCATCCCATCAACTCTCTGAGCGTCTCTAAAGCCATAATCGGAGCACTCGGGCTGTGGTTGGTCACCGCTTCAATGACTGTTCATGTCTTCACTTTGTCACACGTCAACACAACGTACTGTGAGAGCTTCATGATTGAGACCAAGACCAAGGGTAATCTTTCTTGGCATAAGTTTGCATTTCTCTTTTCCTTCTACATGCCTCTGCTGGTCATCCTCTACTGCACATTCTGCATCGTTCGCTACCTGAAAGGGAGGCAGCTGGCCCAGCATGCCAAGATCAAGAAGGCCTTGTACTTCATCATAGTCGTGGTAGTGCTCTTCATCATTTGCTTCCTCCCAAGCAACTTCACACAGCTGATGATCTGGATCAAGTCCTATAAATTAGCCGGTTCCTCTAACATGTGTTCTGAAATGGAAAACCTTACCATTGTATTTTACATCACCATTAGCCTGACCTACCTCAACAGCGTGTTGGATCCTGTGGTCTACTACTTCTCCAGCCCCGTCTTTAAGAGCATCTGCAGGAAGGCTCTTCATCTGCCTGAAACAGAAAATGCTGAGAGTACAGAGAAGAAAACCCGGGAAACGGGCTCCCAGTCGATCAGCCAGCTGTGATCACTAAACTGAGGAGGTACAACAAGCAGCTTCATAGCTAAAGGTTCAATTTAAAGTTTATCGATTCCATCATTAAGCTGTAAGTGCTTAAGCTATTTCATATTTACTATTTACTGCACTTAAAAAAAAAATATTAACTGCATTTTCAAAACATGGCAATTATGGAGTAAAAACCTCTAAAAGTCCAAAAACGATGCAGCTGTGTCTTCTATAGAGCTGTTTCTAGCTAAAGCAGTCTCACTCACACTTTGAAATAATAAGCTACACACTGGCACAGAAATCCTCCGAACTGAGTGATTAAACTTTTCATCAGTGAAAAGCTTTTTTCTTTTTTTCTTTTTTTTTTTTTTACCAGCACACCACTTGCTTAGAAGCTATCACACCAATGCTGACTGCACTTTTCTAAATGTATTTGTCTTCCAAAACATGTACACGTTAAGACGTTTGAATTAAACAAAGATTGCGACGTTGATGTGAAATAAGGAGACATTTATAACCTCATCTGAATACGATTTCTTTCTTTTGTCATGTGAAAACTATAATAATGGGAAACATACTGCATATATACATAATGTATAAAAGCTTTTATACATGAATTAAAAATATGGATATATATTAAGGCAACTTTGAATAAAAACAACAAAACTGTATGAATATGTATTCTTTGTCTTTGGCCAATGCTGTATGAACTTATGATAATAAATATAAGTTTATTGTCAACACTGAGATGTTGCCCGTTTTCTTGGAATCTTTCAGAAGTGGGCGATGAAGGGATCATATTGTACTGCTGGCATTGCAGCAGTACAATATGAAGGACACTCCTCCTGGCTCAAAAATATCTCCCTGTAAAACAACAGGCACTGGAGTTTATAGCTGCTTTTAGGTGGCTGGGGTAGAGGGAGGGTACACCCTGGACCGCTTGCCAGTCTGTCACAGGGCTAACAAAGAGAGTCAGCTGTTCACTCACATTGACACCCCTTTGCAATTTAGAGTTGACCTAAACCCACTAAAGTAAGTTTATCAATCAAAAAACGATGTTTGGACTGTTGCACAAAGATGGTGTATACCGAGAGAAAATGCAAACACCACACAAGTGGTGGGTTTAAACCCTGGACCTCCTTGTTGTCAGGTAACAGTGCTAAACACCACATCAGTGTGCAGCTGCAACAGCAAATATCAGAATGATATAATGATTAGGAATAATCTTTCAGGACATGCAGATATGGCAGATGATATATAAAATCCAGACCTATCACATAAATACTTGATACGAAGGAGAAGACAGATGTGCGCTCCATCTACACCGTTTTTCTAAATCTCCATGCGCTCTCCCAGATAAAGAGACACACTGAGGTTCTGCATCGTCTCTTGAATTAGGAAACAATGGATTTAATGAAAGCCTGATTGTTCAGTTAAGAGATTTTAAGCAATGAGCACAACGCTTAGAGAAAAATCTTTCACATGTATATTATCAAATCTGTTTGTCTGCTTGTTGCATTAGTTTGTTTTCCTGGTATTCGGCTCTCTATTAGGTCTTCTGTTTTCCTTACATGAAACTATTCTAACCAACTCACAACTGCAGTTTCATAACTGCAGCTAAAGTTGGGGAAGTACAATATCTGATGGCCTAATTCAGCAAAGACGATTCAGACACTTTGGTTTCTGTGAATAGAGTTTATAAATATAACTTTATGGCACTTGATCTGTCCACTCTGAGAAACAAGCCATTTCTTCTTTTTGATGCAATCATTTAATTCACACTCAGCTAAAATTATGGTTCTTGTGCAGCTTAAACAAGTCCTTGAATCATTGAAAACACATAAATGATACAAATTGCATTTAAAAACATGCATTGGTTTATATATCTTTATATAGTGTTTTCTGAAAGGCAACAGTTTGAGTGTATAAACATATTTAATCTCATATTTCTCAGACCTTTTTACATACATGAACACAATCTGTAGAATACTATGCAAAAGTCTTGATCCACCCCTCAATTTAAAAAGAAATATTTAGCAGAAAAACGCATCCACCGATTTATTGAAGCAGTCTGGTCTTTCTTAGACAAGGGAGTCTGTCAAACTGTGTTAGTATATTGACCTTTCTTTGATTAAACTGAAAAAATAGGAACAAATTCTTAGTTTTTGCTTCTAGTAACAAAGTCCCAAAAGATACAATTTAAACATGGTTCTTTGGCAAGTTGTCTATAATGCTAGGGCAACACTGATTCATACCTTGAGTTAGGTTCCTTGAACAAGGACCGGACTAAATCTGGACACCAGTTTCACAGAATGGCCATTTTAGATGAAAATAAAACTGTCATTTTAACACAAAGCCACGCAGAGAATACAAAGTCTTCCGTTTCCCATGAGGCAAGTGAGTTTGAAAAGGAAGTCCCGTGACATTAATTTAATGTGCTCCTCTCTGGGAACAGATGAGCTTTATAAGTCCATTTAAGGGCACACCATGTGTGGCTAAACCACTGACAAGTAAACTTGCTGAGCGTTCTTGATGGGCAAACATGTGATACATAATCTCTGCACACCTGAATGAGTGACAGCTGCAAAGGAGAAGAAAAAACTGGAGGACCAAAATTTATAAATCTTTTGAAAAATGCAGAATGGATAAAGTTCAGCTTGGATCGGTCTCAGTGTGAGTGCACACTTCCTCTCAAATATCACACAGTCACTTCTAACAGCGAGTGACGGGAAGTAGTCCATCAGAAACGAGACCAGTGTTTAAAAAAAAGTTGATGAACCAAAGAAGTACGACTAAGATAAGGAAGCTGTTCATATAAATGTGAAAGTAACAAGTATTTAAAAAGAAAACAGAAATAACTTTAGGAAAATGTGAGCACAGCAAGTAGGTCCCGCGTTCGAAACCACCATCTGGTCGGGACCTTTCTGGGTGGAGTTCACATTTTCTTTTTGGGTACTCCGGCTTCCTCCCACACTCCAAAGACATGCAGTTAGTGGGGTTTGATTCTAAACTGCCCATCGGTGCAAATGGTCGTCTTAGCCCTGCGTCAGATTGGTGACCTGTTCAGGGTGAACCCTGCCTCTTGCCCTGTGGGAGCTCGATGAGCGAGTTTGGTGTGGAAGAACTTGACTGTCCTGACCTAAACCTGATAGAACAACTTTGGAATGAAGTAGAGCAAAGACAGGACTTCTGGTTTAACAAAAAAATAAATAAAAATCCCATAAACACCCCTAAATCTTTTACAAAGCCTTTTCAGAAGAGTTGAAGTTGTTATAGCTGCAAAGGTTCGGCAAACATCATATAAAATTCCATGAAGTAAGATTGCTTTGTTCCTTAATGTGTGTGACGGCAAATGAGCTGATACTTTTGGCAACACAGTGTACATCATTTATTAGGATTACTGCTCCTCTTTCTTTTAGAACCGATGTGGGACAGTACTTTAACTTCAAAATATTGTACAAAGTGTGGCTGTGCAATGAAAATCAACAGTTAAACTCAATACACATCGTAGGAAACAAACTTGGAGTTACAGTGGAAAATAAAAGTTGACGTGTGATCTGCTGCTTCATAGCTCATCTCCACAGTTTTCATAAATGAATAGGTTATTCAAATATTACAGCTGAAAGATAAATGTGAAGTGCAAATACTGCATCTCAGCCTAAAGCAGACCAAGGAGGATTATATAAACACGGCTGAAGCAACAGTGCTGGTTCATCTCAATACTCCGTGTTGCATGTTAAGAAAGTCCTGAAAAACAAATGAAATCATTAATGCACACAGGTGAAGTGCTTTTAGCTAATAAAAAGAAACTTCTACTTCACATCAAACATGATGTGTAGCCTTTACGTTCCACTAAATTGGGCCCAAGATATCGGCTTCAGTTACCTTCAGGCAGCTGGATGACAACGAGCCATTTGTCAGGGTTTTCCCTCGCTGACGCTCTCTGTGTTTAATGTACTCACGAGCGAGTGATTCAGCATCATCATGGCTGCAGGGAAGATAGAAGAGCACAGACAACTAAAGTCATGCAACTTTAACAGGTTTAAGACATCTGTTTCTAACACAGTTCTGTTCTGAGTGCGAGCATTTAAACTAAACTGGAAGGAAAAGCAAAAATCTGAATTTCGAGCTACAAAAATCTGAATTTCGAGCTACAACCTGAGACTGTAGGATAACATTAAGAGTAAGTAAGAGTAACAGTAAGAGCTAGCTTTTTAAAATAACAGCCAGTCTGTGACAACCTCTTCCAGTTAAAAGGTTTGAGATATGAAGACAAAATTTAAAAAATATATGAACAAACTGAGCCAAAATGCAAAGCGTGTGAAAACCTGCTTTCATTTCAATTAAGAAATGAAAAGCAGCCAGGTGCTGCTAATTAAATGATCATCAGCAGATATCAGCACCTGTATGAAAGCAGATGTTTTGGCAGTTTGCAGGTCAGGAGTATTCAGGATTCACCAACTTTCATTAACTTAGTATATCAAAGTATTCTAGAGTCACATGTGAGGGCATCTGTCCAACAGCTGAAGCCAGAATAATGGGCCTCATTTATTAATATTTGGGTGGAAATGTTTTTATCATGTGCAACAAATTAGTTTGCACGCAAAATTAGTCAGATTCAGAAACCTGCAAACTGGCCTATTTTATTCTCACCACTGTGGGTATGTTAGTAAATCAGAATAGTTCAAAACCAGCAGCCTTGTGGAAGCCCCATATAATTTGCCTATTATCTGCGCACTTCCCCGCCATGGCTTCTCTATATAAGTGAACACACTCCAAGTGAAGAGAAAGTGGTGACGATGTTATAAGACAGAATCCTGCACCTCTGAGGCAAGAAACAAGAAGAACGTCTGACCATATAAAATTAAATAACAGTGTCTGGATGCTGAAAGAGGAAGCCAGAAGAGACCAAAGAAGTTTCAAAAATAATAAATAAAATAAGCACGCAAGCCTGAAATAACAGAATATAATTTCTCCTGAGAGATTCCCTGTGCACCAAAGTTGACATAAAAACAAAAATACCACAAGGAATAAGAAGATTAAAACAGGTGGAGGCCGAGGAACCATGTGACACATCAGCCCCACATGAGAACCTCGCGAGCTTTGGGTAGTGACTGAAAGAATCTGATGCAAGTGGCACAAATAAGCTTCCGCCAAAGGGTGGCTGTGCTTCCCCTTTGCGATAGTATTTTGTTTTCTTCACGTGCCTTTTTTGTAGTCCTGAGCATTTTATGGCTTAATGCATTTTAGAAAGCTATGAATAAAAACCAAAATTCAATGATAATTGCTAATAATTGTTAGTAGTAGTAGTAGTAGTAGCAGCCCTACTCATTTTACAGATTTGTGATTTGTTGTACGTATGTTTGGTCAGAGGAACTGACCTAAACTAAATTTGTTCCTAAAATACAAAAATATTGATAAATCACAGATTTGTGCATATGCACTGTGAATGAGTAAATGAGGCCCAATGATCCCAAGCACTGCAACAAATCTACAGCTGAATGGTTGAAATAGAAAAACACCAAGATTTTGCACTGATCCGGTCAAAGAGCAGACCTCATCCCGATTTAAATGCTGTGGTCAGATCTTAAGACAGCTGTACATAAGTGAACATCTGCAAACCTCAATAAACTGAATAAAACCAAACTCAATGTTCGGATAAAGGGGCTTCTACAAGCAAACAGAATCATGTAGTTAGTTTTCACATGCAGCGTCTGTGTTTTCTTTTTTCTCAATAAATGATGAACTAGCGTAATTATGTTGTGTTGTTGTTCATCTAACATTGTATCTAAATAATTTTAGAACCTGGGAACGACCAGATAATTTAAAAATTGTGCACTGATGCGTAAACTCTTAGACTTGAAAGAAGGTGGTGTGCTCGTTTTCCACATGACTGTGTCGTACTGTATCCCACGAAGAGTGTAAAAAATTTGTAACTCAGGTTAATTCATTATGTTTGGGTAAAAGATCAAATCTCCAGTTTATGATGAGCTCTTAACCACCTGAACTGCACATTACCTCCTAACTGTCTACAAAGAGCCACATGTAAAGCTAATGTTACAGCCGGAACAGCCTCCAGGTCGGCTGCATGATACATGCAGATTAAAAACAGCTCAAAACATATCTGTTCAGACAGGCATTTAGGTAATATTCATGTGTAGCAAACTGTTTTATTGGATATGCTACTATACCCTCTTTATAGTGTTTTATTGTTTCGATTGATATGCTTTTATTCCCATGTGAAGCACTTTGAAATAACTTCCTGTTTTAAAAAGCTAATGTTTTTTTCTGTGTAAGTCTGAGGCCCATGGTGAAATTGCAGATTGGGGATCTGGCCATTACAGATCAATGCAGAGGAGGCGTCTCAGTGCGTGGTTACAGACTGGATTTTTATGTGCATAATAATGAAAGCTTTAGATCACAGCTCATAGATATCATAGGCACATGTAGATCATTGTTAGTCTCCTTCCATTTATATGAGGGTTGGAAAGACAGGTACCTGCTCTTTATATCCTTGTACGGATGATTACATCAGGTTTTAGACATTTTAGATTTTAGATCACAGCACTATGCATCAGTTTATTGTTGATGTTTTTAAACCATCTCTATTAAAAAGTTTTTGTTGCTTTCCTATGAAGGTTTGAGAGGCGTGAATCTCACCAGTTCTGGCTGATCAGATAGTCCACCAAATCTTTCACTTGGTTAGGCTGCCCACTCGACACTATGAGCTGCTTCAGATGGCTAAAGTGTTTCGTCTTCAGCAGTTTCTGATGCTGTCCATTCTGGCTGATGAAAGTTAACACAGTCTCCCTGACCTGATGGATCATTAAGAAAATTAAGTAATGTAGTATAAGACATTAAATATATAACATAATATACTCTATAATTATATATAATTATATGAGAATCACAATGAAGAATGCAGATGAATTTCATTTCACCAGATGTTACAAAACAGCAAATCTGCTCACGTGAAGATTGGGTTTATTTCTGTGTTTGGTTAGCAACACTGTTTTTCCGACACACAAAAAAATATCTTTCATAATTTCACACCATCTA